CTGTTTATGGAGGTTTTTTTACATATATTTAGCTTACTTTGGTGTTCTTTTTCCCCGAGTTAGTCTTAGTCTTTGGAGTATTGTTCTTGTTGCACATGGAATATTTGACTATGATGGTGTTTTGGTTATTTGTTTATACATTTTATCTCATAAACTTATTGCTGCAATCTTTATTTTATCTGTCCCTTAAATACCAATATAATTATAGTTTCTGTAATTTCAAATCCCAAACTCTACTCCTAATTCCTGATCCGAGTCTTTGATCTGAATCTCTAATCCTAATCTTTAATCTCTATTAATAGTCTCACACACAGACATGGTCAATTTCAGCTATACCAGTTTGATGTAACTGTCAGAGATTATCCTTAAAAGAAACGATGCATCATTTGAGCTGAATTTGTAAACGGTCTTCATGTCATGAAGCTGCAGGGTGATGATGTCATCACTCCACTGACAGAGGGTTGGTCTGAGTGAAATGTTGAACTATGTCTCATTTTTATAGATCTTCACAATCACTGAATATCTTTGTGTAGTTTGTAATTTGAAATTTTTTTCTTCCTTTTTTCTACTTCAAATTCTTGTTTGTCTCCTACGTCCTTTCCTTTGTCTTTTGTTGTCCTTTTTCCTTTTTGTTTCCTTTATCTCCCTTTTTTTATCTTTTTTCTTTTTCTTTTAATTTGTAATGTCTCTTCTTCAACTCGCAACCAAGTGAGGTCATTACTTGCGGGCCAATCAGAAACTCCACTTTTATTTGGTTTCACCCGTTGGCTGCAGTGGGATTTTGACGAACAACAACCTGGTTGTTGTTGTTCTACAAAATAACCTGCAAAATAAAGGCACTGCCAGGAGAATTCCAAGGACAAATTCAGACGTCTGGAGAGCATTTAATCCTGAGCTCCCGATAATATATAATCTTGTTTCAGCAAATCAGGAAACACCAGTGCGTGTGTGTGTGTGTGTTTGTGTGTAAGTGCATCCATCGCTGAGAGGGGAATAAAAATGGAGCATTTCCTGCTGTTAGCTCCATAGATGTTGCAGCTTTACCATTCATTTCTACTTTATTTGACTCCATTTTCCATAAGTAATAGTTTTAATATGAACCCCAGAGTGTGGCAGCACAGACCAGGTCATAAAAAAGAGAAAAAAAACTCATTCAACACATGTGCATCTGTTTGTGTGAGTTACGATGAAGAGAAGAAAAAGCAGCGCTGTATTTTTTTAATGTGCTGCTGCTGTGTGTGTATGCGTGCACGTGTGTGTGTGCTGCATCATTTATTAATGGCGCCGCATCCTTGAACCAGTTTCTTTTCCGACGTGGACGTCATGCTGGGCATCGCGCTGACACACACACACCCTCCCATGTCCTTGACGATGCTGGTTCAATACCTCCCTCCTCCCCCTCTTTAACCCCCACCCTCCAAACTTTCTGAGGTTGTTTTTGGTGTACACTCTGTTTAGACTCGGCATTGAACCAAATACATCAGCTGCCTTTTTCCTATCCATATTATTATTTTTTGAATTCTTATTTTGTATTATTATTATTATTATTATTATTATTATTATTATTATTATTATTATTATTATTATTACTTATTATTATTATTATCATTATTATTATTATTATTATCATTATTATTATTATTACTTATTATTATTATTATTATTATTAGTAGTAGTAGTAGTAGTAGTAGTATGCCTATTTTATTATTAGTTGTAGTAATAAAAGCATGATAATAATGATAATAATCATAATAATAATAATTGTAGTTTTGTGGTCATCAGGGTTTTTAAAGTAAATACATAAATGTCTTTAAAATTTAATTTTAAATTTTAATTTAAAAAAATGTATTTTTAATGTTTAGCAATAATAACACCTCTAGAACAACAACAAATAATAATAATAATAATAATAATAATAATAATAATCATCATCATCATTTTTTTTGCATCAATCGTTGTTGTTTGTTAATGTGGCCCACATGGACTAGTGATCTGTGTGTCGGTCATGCTTCTTTCCCTCCCATAAATGCCAGTCTAATCAAAATGAATCTGAGAACAGCAATGATTACATCTACATTTAAAGCAATACAAAAATCATCACATGACAACATTATAATATATGTTTGTATCTTCTAAACGCATAAAAGCAGAAGTTGTTGTGTTTCAGACTGAAGCTCCTTCCTCTTTAGAAATCATCCCACGTCCACTCGGTTATTTGGAGAAAACTGAGCCATTAATTTCTTTCCCCATTATTTTTGTTGATGACGGAGTCAGTGGTCGCCACCCTCTGGTTCTCCTCTTCATCATGCTCTATAATTAAGCCAATCACTGTTCTCCATAAAAACAATTCCTGGAGTTCCCGGTAAAAGATGTTTTTGAGATGGTGGCAGATTCCGGTGTGACCCTGATCCTTCCCAGGGTCACGTGATCAGAATTCAATAAGAGTTATTCTCTCCGAGGGGGCGAGTTGGTGAATTGAACGACAGCAGAGATTTGAGAGGAGACAGATGGAAAAGTGGTGAAAAAGAGGAAGCTGAGAAAGGTTGGTTTTATATTTGTCACTGTCTAAAATCCCCCACTGTTCCCACCAGCTTGTAATCCAGACTCCTCTCCCTGACTCCCCTCAACACTGACAGTTGGCTTTTTCTCTTTTTACTGCCAATTACAGATTGTTTGGCATTGGAGTGGTGCTGAGACTCGAGGCTGACGAGTCTTCTCCACCACCACCCCCCTCCAACACCCACCCCCCACTCTCCTAGCACTGGTCCCAATTTACCCATCAAACACTGCCACCCAGCATCACAGCACTCAGGAAACACGCAGTTCCTCAAATCCCCGACTTCTCCTTAACGTGAGCCGGAGTGAAATAAAAGAGCAGCAGATAGTTCTGGAGACATGACAAACAGGCAGGAAAACAGATTTTTTATTTATTTTTATTTTTTTTATGACATCACTGAGGATCACAGAGTTCATTCAGAGTCATCTTAGAAAAACCAAGACAATTTTAAACAAATTCCGGAACAGACGCACTGTATTTGCCAAGGTCAGACTAACAAAGATGATGAAGTTAGTTCAGAGGTGATGATGAACTGATCGGCTGTGTGCAGGAGGCAGTCGCTCCAGCAGTCCAGAAGATTCTGCCTGCTGAGTGAGAAATCATTGACGGTGTTCTGGAAACAGTGCAGGTGGCAGTTCATCATTAAGTAACTGATAAATCACTTCACATCAGACCTAAAGGCGCAGTCCGCAGTTTTGTTCAGTTGTACCAGCATTGAGCAAATGCCGCAGCTCCCCTCCCCTGGCATGTAGGTGGTGCTAAGTGCACATTTCAAAGCCCTGCTTCATTCATTCACATAAACTGAAGCTTTGTTTTGTATGAATCCTCTCCCCGCTGCAGTCCCTTTGCACTTACATTATTCATGCGCAAGTCTTCACCAAGGCTAGGCTAAGCTAACCTGTAACCTGTAGTGAGTTGTGTTTTTTACTGGTAGATTTTTTTTGTTCTATTTTTTTAATTTTGTTTTTGCTTTTAAAAAAAAATCTGTTCATTCTGTTCAAACTTAAACAATGTCGTTTCTCCTCAGCACATGGCATTTAAATCGGTTTCACAGTTTGGATCACAGACTCATTTGAATGTGTAGTGTGTGTGTGTGTTATTCACATTAGAGGGTGTTGCAGTAAAATGTTTGTTGCTCTAATTACAGCCCGGTACTTTCCGGAACTCTCTCTCTGTTGTGATTGGCCTGAGGCAAAGTTGGTTTCTCCCATGTTGAGGATGAAGTGAGCATTAATGATGGAGCCTCACACTGGGACAAACTTTATTTCTGTTCAGGAGCAGGAGGCTGAAGCCCAGCCAGAATCAGGAACCATAAAACAGTTCTTTTAACTCAGGTGGAGACACAGGAACTGTTACAACAAAAAACAAATAAAAAACAAACAAAAAACCTTAATTTTTTTTGTATTTGTTTTTGTATTGTATTTTTAGTTATATTTATAATAATAATTATAATAATAATTTTATTATGATTATATTCATTTATTTATTTTTAGTTAAGGATGTCGGATGTTCATTTGTAAATGCCTCTAGTGCGACATCACAATAAAAGTAGGTAATGCGTAAAGTCACCGGGAGATACAGTGTTTTCTCTCTACATCATGGTTCTCCTTTCGCTCCCTCGGTACATCGCAGATTTTTTTTTTAATCTGATCTCACGAAATTTTCACTATACCTTGAAATATAGCAAAAAAATAAACTCAAAGACATTATAAAATAATTATACATACGAAAGTTTTTTGGCTTTAAAAATGTGGATTCTTGTTTTGAAGTTAAAAATAAGCCCATTTTCCAACGATCACTGGTAGCTTTGTTTACCTAGACGACATTGTACACAGCATACTATTGGCTAATACAATGCGAACTTGGTGTACTACTGGCTAATTAAGGCATGTTCTTCTGTTCTTCAAGCTGATTGGCTCATGCATCGTAGCATCTCTCAGCATCTTCCCTTGTCTCTCGTTCACTTTGTTCTATGTCGCCATTATAAAATTCCACTGTCCATATAATAGTGTGTTAAATGGTAATGCAGTCTAGGGAGGGTTGATAACAGTGTGGGGGAGGTTCGTAAAAGGGTAAATATTATAATAACTATCCCGCCTCTACTTCGCAATTTTTCCCATCTCGCGGCGGGTCATGGAACGCAACTACCTCGATAGGAGAGGGACCACTGTAAATATATAAACATATATTCATGTAGGAGGTGGTCCCAACTTCCTCACTGTGAAATGACCCTTGACCTTCTTCATACACAGCTCAGCTGAGTTCACTGCAGCCATGGTCTTCAAAGAGAATCAGCCTTGACAATGTCTGACGTGTGTTTGTCGCCTCCTCGGTGCCTCTGCCTCTTTTTCTTCTTCTTCTTTTTTCTTTTTTCAAAAAACCCCAGAAAGGGGTTGGGGTTTTTTTTTTTTTTTTTTTTTTTTTTTTTGCTCCGTCTCTGCAGTTGACCAGATTGGAGGCAGAACTGCTCAACATGCAGCCTCAGCCCCGTGCACGAGTGTGAGGACTCACCAGGTTGCGCCTCCTGCTGTGATTCACCACAGGTGTGCAGATGAAAGTGCCGCTGTCGAGCGTGCACTTGTGTGTGTGCGTGCGTGTGCACACTCACACTGACACACACTGAGTGTTTGAAGTGGAATCCTGCAGCTGAGCCCAGCACTGGACCTTCTTCTACTGCTGCTGCAGTTTGACATCTGCTTAAAATCCCTGGAGGTCAGCACACACACACACACACACACACACACAACTCACTAGGAATTCCTCCATCCTCACACACAAACACAGCCGTCATTGGTTTACATACGCTGTGATGTCACTCAATTGAGTTGTAACTGAGTAAAACGCAGGATGTGTGTGGGGGTGGGAGAGTGTGTCTCTGAAAAATGGTGGGAAGACTCTTGAAACATTCTGAAGTTTCGGTTATAGTTGACAGAGGACTCTTGGCTCCTGTGGACCTCGTGAAGAACCCCCACCCCCACCCCCACCTCCCTCCTGAGCGGAGGGTTTTTCTTTGAAAAAAAAAAAAAGGAAATACAGCTCTGGGTCGTCAGTTCCTGATTTATTTAAACCACTCACCTGTAGGTTTCTCTCTTCAAACACACATGAAAAAGATGTTTAAAAATAGCTTATAAATAATCTATTGCATTCGATTTAATAAAAAATTATTTTTTTTAAAAAAGCCCTGGTAGATCAACTTGACAGGCATAGTTTGTCCTGAGATGGCGCTAGTGATATAACTCCATAACTCCATAGATTCCTTTAGATTTCTGCAGTTTCACCTTCTCGCGCCTCCTACCTCAACTCCACCGTTTGGACAAGGTCTGATGAAAACGCAGCCTCGAGATTTTTTGTTTCAAATTCAATGGGTTTTTTTTTTTTATAGAAGTTTTCAGACAGAAACATTTGAAGAAAATGAAGGCGTAGACACTGACTGCAAATCCGCCGTGCGTCTGTGCGCTTAATTTTTCTGCGTTCGCGTGTGTGTGTGTGTGTGTGTGTGGGTATTTCTGTGTGTGTATGTGTGTTACCTGCATGGCCTCCAGCAGAGCTGCTAATGAGCTCCATTGATTGAAGCTGTTAATTGAGAGCTGTTTTTAATTAATCATGTTCTAACTCTGTGTGTCATGAATTATTTCTGACAGATCTGAACCTACCTGGGTTTTTGTTTTTTTTTATGATCACCACAGATTGCGTCAAATTTTAACCTGATTTTTCTTTCCTTTTTTATTGCTTTTAAGTGAATTATTCTATTCTAATTTCTAATTTAAACTGTAGCATTTAAAGGACCAGTTCACAGAGTTATCACTCGGTATTTTCAGGAATCACCTGCTGTTTACCGAGTCCGGTCTGTGGTTTTTCCTCTAACATCAAAACGTTGGCAGATTTGAAGGACAGATTTGGATCTGAATCTGGTTCTGAATCAGGATCAGACTCTGGACTAGAATCAGGAATGTGAGTGTGATTTAACAGGTGTCAGCATTAACAGGTCACCTGTTGCCATGCGGTTTGTGTGTGTTTGTATCACCATGTGTGACTAATGGACTTTGTTCTTAAAAATACATTTTCTGGAGTTTAAGGGCAATCTTTGTTTTAGAGAAGAAATAAATGTTTCCTCAGTCATTATTGATTATATAAGATCTGATAGAATTTTTGACTCTTTATCTGTTCTGTCAAAATATTGTCACAGACAAAAGGAAAAGGGGGGGCTACAAAAAAAGACACAAAAAAACTGACAGAAAACGTCTTTAAGATTCTTTTGTCTGTACCTTTAAATCCAAGGCTGAAAAGAAAACCAAATCTGTCTGAAGGCTTGGTTTTGGCTCTGGAGGATTATTTTTAGAGATACTGCCATGATGTGAGATCTGAGTAATTACCCCGGTCTCCATGGAATTATCATCATTTGTAAAAGCAAAGCCAGACATGATGAGAACGCAGCTCAAGTTTTAATAAAGTACAATTTTCCCTGAAGGCAAAACTGCACAATGAGCTGCTCAGAGCACAGGAGATTGATGTGGACTTTCAGGAGCAGACGGAGGATGTAGTGAGGGCTCTGACCACTTGTGGATGTTGGTTTGAAGAAATACAGAAAGATTACAGGGATAGTTTCAATTTTTGTGGAATCGTTGGTTGATTTATTTTACAAAATATGAAAATGTTTGGTCTCTAGAAATTTTTATGATAAGAGGAAAACCTGGAGGAGATGTCGTTGGAAAAAACTTTTAACTCTCAGACCAAAGTCCATAGAGAAAATCAGTGATTTTAGCTCAGACCAAATCCACAGTCTCTATGATTCTTCTTTAGCGCCAGTGGACACCGGACCTGCTGCCGTCTGTGGTAGGTGTGTATATAGGATCGAGGTAAAACTTAATAAAGGTCACAAAATAACAAATATTGCTCATTTAACGGGTTTTGTCAGAATTAGGGGTATTCAGAGAGTAAATGGTTTAACTTGTGCTCCATCTTTCTGTCGTTAAACTCTGTATAACTGTCAGACGAAGACGTGGACAGACAGTTGGAGATAAAAAGAATAAGATTTGTCTTGTCTCTGTTCATGTTCATCTTCTGACTGGTGTCTGGGGTTGGATTTCATGCTCTCACTGATAAAACACGGATAAACAACTGTTAAAATTCCACGATCCGTTTGAATCCTGTGGAAATTATTTCATCAGATTTTATCTCCAACGAAATCTCCTCTATTATTCAGAAGCCGTCAGAATGATGGAGTCTGACTTTAGGACTAGCACAAAAAAAATCCACAGTCTCTATGATTCTTCATCATCCATGACAAAAATACTGTTATATCTATTAGTACCAGGAGCTAGGATTACTAGATACTAAATATGTGGGCGGAGCTTATTGTATACGTTTGATTCCCTTCAGCATCCAAACCTTTGTTCACCATCAACCTTTTCTTTACGGAACTGTTGTGACAAGGGGAACGTGAAGGAACTGTTTTTAGAAGGAACTCTATGATCGTCCCTGGATTTTAAAGCCAGTGGAAACAAGAACAAGAACAATATGAAATTGGTTCCTGATGCTAAAATAATCCTTGGTACTATGCTGTAGAGACACGGTTCTGTGTCAGTACCGATGCTGGAGGAGTTTCCATTGTGACAGCAGTGGCTGAGTGTACAGGAAACAGCTGCTGCTTAAATGCACTGATCCCCCGAAGACACTGATTTTTAATCACATTGATTCTTTTTTTTTTTTTTTACTGTGAGCAAAAATGTATTAGATGACTTCTCTGACTTAAAAGCTCCGAGAAAATCCAGGAGGGAGAGGTTTTTATCTAAAAGCTCCCTCTCCTGAAAGAAGGCGATGATAATTTAGCCTCAGATTTCCCTCTCCTGAGGAGAATAAGACGAAGAGAAGAAAAATGCAAATAAATGCAGAGCTCAGATCAATAAAACTTGTGATGGAGAAAGAAGAGGAGCAGCTCTCTCTCTCACTATTCTTCAATCACCTGCAACCAAAAGGAGTTGAACAACCAGTTCTCACTTTTCACTCAGAATAAAATGAGCTGGGTTTTTTTTTTTTTTTTTTGGCCTCTTCTTTTGGTTTCCGCTGTTTTTGGATTAAAGCGGGATCGTTTCTTTTCATTAATGTTTTGGTGTTTTAAGGTGTTTCTGGTCCAGAAGATGGAGCCGTAGTTGGTTTGTGATGGGCATGGAGCTGCTGGAGTCCGGTCTTCTCTCGTCTTCACTCAGGCCTCAGTGGGTTTAATAGAAATCACTGGCTAAATTCAGTCTTTTCATTTTTCCCAGTTTGAAGTACAGGACATACTACAGCTATAACCTGTTCATTTCCACGGCGTAGCACCCCCCTGTGGTGTGAGAACTTGTCGGCCGGGACTGGTCTGGTCCTGGTCCACACGAACTGCTTGGATTTGTTGTTGTTGTGTGGTTTCTGACAGTCGTGTGTTACTGTACATGGCTGACAACGTTGTTAACAAAGAAATCTTCTGAGGGAAAACACACTTTCTGATGATTCTTTCTGTTTTGTCGAGTGTGTGTGTGTGTGTGTGTGTGTGTGCGCGCGTCCATTATTCGCTCAGTGCCTGTTGTGTCCACTGTTGTATTGTTACCAATCTCTCTGTTGAAGCTGTTTTTTAAGACAATAGCAGAAAAACACCAGGGGCATGTTTGAATAAAACCAACGCTGTCCACACACACACACACCCCCACACACACACGCACACACACACACGCACACACACACACACGCACACACTCTCCCCATACTGTTAGCAGAGACAGGATTATCCCACTCACTTTCACTCGTTTTCTACAACCCTCTGTTTTTAACTGTCAGCAAAATCCAACACACATGCATACACACACGCACACACACACACGCACACACTCTCCCCAGGGTTCTGGAGTAACTCAGTAGGAGGCAGCGTCACCTCAGCCACGCCCCGTTTTCTTCCTTCTTCCCGTCCAATCGTGTCCCGTTTTTTCTTCTTGTCCAATCCTTTTGCACCCGTTGACAGCAGGTGGTCTCTAACTCTCAACCAATGGGAGCTCTGGGTTTATGTGTCTCAGCAGGAGGTGTAAAGCTGCTCAGCAACAATGGAGATCGTGGTGCTGGTGCAGAGTACGAGGGATTGGAGGGGGTGATGTTGTAGTAAAAAAAAAAAGATGACCTACTTTTTTTCCGTGGTAGTTTTTTTTTTTTTTTTTTTTTTTTCGTTCCCAGCGTGTGCCTCCTCTGAGATCTTTCTCCTGCTCCTCCTCTTCTCCTCCTCCCCCTCCTGCTCCTCTGCTGCGGAGGTGGCCTCTAGTAAAGACTGGAAGTTAGGACCCGGGCAGGTTTTGTCGAATTGAAAAACATTTGCTTCCCTTAAACATCTTCATCACTGCAGTGACGGCAACAGAACACCGACTGACGTAGACCATCGCAGACGAACGCAGACTGATGCAATTCAAAAAGACCAATACAGACTGACATAGACTAACAGAGACCGACCCAGAACACCATAGACAAACCCGGACAATCACAGATTTACACAGACCACCACGGACAAACCAAGAACAATACAGACTAACACAGACTACCACAGACTAACCTAGACCTCAGCATAGGAACCCAGACCACCACAACATAGAAAAACCCAGACCACGACAGACGACCACAGACACAGGTTTTCTCTTCATTCTGTTCAAAGACTTTAATCTAAAGTAATTCCAGCAGTTTGTCAGTGAAGAGAAGCA